TAACCCCCCTATACTCCATCCCCAACCCCCCCCCCCCCCCCAATCCCCAAAAGTTTCTCAGCAGATTTGGGCTGTACTCAGCAAGGGCAGTACAGCCCCCAACTCAGATTAGAAAAAAAAACAGTGGATGGCTGTTTTCTGACTGGCCGGCAGATCGCCTACCGGTCGGCCCTACTGCTCGGCTGCAAAACGGTCGGCGGTCGGCAGGTATGCAACCCTTCACTAGAGGGAAAAAAGAAAAATCCAAGTCATTTGTGATAACAGGCCAGCCATTCCCAGGAACCAGTAATTGAACAATGACGAGTGTAGAAGCTTGGGTGGGTCGTTGTGGCCACTCCTTACTTCTATTCTTAATTGTGGCCATGGATACTTGGTCTCTATAGTCAGAAACGAGAAATCCAGGTGAGTAGGACCTTGCACCTGGAAGTAATGAACAGATGAAACAATCACACCGCGTAGTTGATTGTTTGTCCATTTGTTGCTTCTGCTTTTCGCACCTTTCCCCCTTCAAACATTTGTACCCCTATCTTCCCCCCATCGATGTCATTTTTTCTGCCCCCATCAATGGCATCACACTCTACTGATTTATCGATTCTCAAGCTCCAGGAGGAGCCTTGAAGACCAGGATCCGTACCCCTACTCCCATACTCCCTTGAATTGAAGGGGCTGCCACCAAATGTGAGGCTTTTAGGTCGGCAGCCCTCAAAAGGGCCACACAGCAATTTCCTGGGCCAACCCTAAGTGAAGGCTGCACCCTGCAACTAACTAGGCCCCAAACGCATGCACCCAGGTAACTACACGGTAGGCCTTGTCAAGACCCAGAGCGGGCCGGTACATGGGACTTGGCTAGGGCCTGAAGCCTGAGACCTCAGCCTACAAACAGAACAAAAGGAAGTAGGTCGAGGCATATGACACAATGGGCTGCATGCAGTATCGGGCGATAGGCATGATCACTAAGCAGAGGAACCGCGCCCAGTTGGGGAGAAGAGTGAGTCGTGGTTGTTCGCACTCGCCATAGCAAGGTGGCAGCATGCAGGAGAGGTTGCTAGAAGCGAGTGGGAGTCCTTGGGTGAGGTGGATACTTACCTGGTGACTGGCAAAGAGCGTTGTCGAGCACATCGGCCCCCGCCTTTCGCAAAGGCGAGAGCCCTCTTGACCACGTCAAGCATGAGTTGAAAGCAACTAGAGACAACGTGTAAGTAACCCTGTGAACCGTCGAGGCGAGCGGGGCCGCGTCACCACCTCGCCGCTCTAGTCGGGTGCGCCAACCCTACTTCCTGTGGTCCCCTACGACAGGATAGGTTCCCGCGGGGCACAACTTACCTTCCCTAAGGGGTTGTTACCACCCTTAGGGGCGTATCCCTACCGAGCTACTGACCCACATGTGAAAACTTCTAAATGTAATTGCAAAGGTAGGTCACTCAAGGATGTTTGTGAGTTTCGCTGCAGTATAGGCACACATGGTTAAAACAACGTCTGAACCCGAACGTCGTTCGTTCCCTCGGGCGCTGATCTCCTAAGTACGAAGCATACGCCGGTCGACTAGGACGATCTCACCCCAGTATAAAACCCACAACTCAATCCTAGTCCTTTAGACACAGTTTGAAAAAAAAGTTACAAAGCTCAGTTATAACTTTACCGAAAAGAATCGACCATTAGACTATAAGAGAGTACGTGGTTAAAACGATGTCTGAACCCGAATGTCGTTCGTTCCCTAGGGCGCTAATCTCCTAAGTACGAAGCGTAAGTCGGTCGACTAGAACGGTCTCAACCCAACGTAAACCCACAACTCAATCCTAGTCCCTTAGACACAATTTGAAAAAAAAGGTTTCAAAGCCCATCTATAACTTTACCGAAAAGAATCGACCATTCGTCAATAAGAGAGTACATCCATCTAAAACCATTCGAGTGTCGAAACATTAAAATAAAAATCGACCACCTCGGGTTGGACTGAATGACTAAGTACACTACCGAACCGCCATCGAGGAGTAGGCTTCGACTATAACCTCGATGCAACCGACAAGATAGTC